AGGAGCAGGTTGAAGTGTAAGCTACTAAGTAGGTTCAGTAGCTAAGACAATCGATAATATTCGCAACTGTTTGAAACAAAAAACTAGGCTGAAAAATATTGCTCTTTGCTAATTTTAAGCTATTTATTGCAGAAATGGAAAGTTAGATTATTACTTCAAATACATATATTGTTACCTTGCGTTCTTTATCGTTTGCCTGTAGTTGCTGGAGTGTACTTTCTTTAGCCAACTTAAGGTTTATTTCCTCAGCGTTGCTAAAATATCCGTTCATCTTGAATGAGTTGTTATGTCACTGTCCGAGTAGAAGCTACAATCTCATGTGGGACCGAGTCTCCGAAAATTTATTATGTAAAAGCTCATTACAATGTAGTTTAGACAATTGACCAATCAGAGGATTATAATAAACAATAGAGTAATGTCTGAACTTTGTCCGGGATAATAATGAAATATTCATAAATTTGAGGTTTGGACCACGTGAAATACCGAGGGCAAACCACTTTGCTCTCAGGTGCACTAATAACAAGCTTCCAAGGAAGACCTCTAAATTACTTGTAGACTCATTTAAAACGTCAAACACACATGTACCGATCTCATTCTAAATAATTCCCAATTTTTTGGTCATTGTCATCATGTACTGGATTGTGTTGTCAAAATCCGACAAAATCTGGTTGTTATAGTCTCGTCCGATTGTACTATTTTACCTTAAGCTGCCATTTGTAAAGCACAGTTTCAATTGAAAAGAATTACAAACTTCATAAAACCCGCCAAACACAGAGTTAATCTCATATGACGACGAAGCGTAACTCAACGTGACCTCTATGACATAACATGTGCAGTTCTGTATAAGTGTCTACTGAATAATGATTATTATTTTTTGTCTTGTATCGGAGCTCCAGCGTCTTTGTTTTGATCAGTGGTTTCTTTTGCTTAGCTAATCCCATGTGTTAAAGGTTCTCGCAATATTTGCATAACCGCAGTACCATAGCCACAGGGATCACAGACTCTTTATCCGAGTGGTTCTTTATGTCCCCTCCGGGATTATTTAGCTCGCCCCTTCGGGGCTCGGTATTTCTCGCCCCTTCGGGGCTCGATCGGAAATCGGATCGCCCCTTCGGGGCTCGCCAGCATTCCTTAGGGTCACCGGAAAACCATATTACAAAACAAAATGGCTGTATAATATATAGCGAAAGACGTATTAACGGATTAAAAAGGTGATAAACAACATTTTGCCGTGCTCCCTTGAATCCAAGTAAGAAATTCACGATTCAATAACATCATACAAAATCGTAAAATAACGGTAAAATATAGAGGGGAGGGGAGGGGTGGTTACATAAGAACCACTGATAAAGAGCCTGTGCTCCTTGTGCCTAAAGCTTTTTTCATCGCCCGTTTTTAGATCCGACGGCATTTTCACGCATATTGGACTAAGCGTGCTAAAGCGTGAAAATAACTGACTGTTTGCAGCCGTCTAGCGATTCTAGAGGACGAAAATTGGAAGAAACGACAAACTGTACTACCCGTTAGTAGTGATCTATTTGAAAAATGGCGGTCAATTTAAATACCATTATTTCGATTTGAACAGCTGCTAATCCATCGAACATATGATATGTGTATTTTAGAACATTTTTCACTAGGGTCAACGTATCAAAAATATCAATGTCTGTCTGTCCCTCTATTTAATTTATGAAAGGGAAATTTAGTAAAAGACAATACTAAATCTCCCTTGCATAAATTAAATAGAGGGAAATTTAGTAAAAGACAAAAGAATCCTTTGTCTTCTAAATTTCCCTCATGTTATTCATGAGGAAAATTGGAGTTCCTTTGCCTTCTATACTTCCCTAATGCCGTGCACAATGAAAATGTAGTAGACTAGATACCCCTCAAAAGAATTTCTACTGAAAACAGGTCTCCTACACCATATGGCACTAGCATGTCTTGCATGTGGGACATTGTTTACCTAACTGCGCATGCCTGTGCACTTAGTTAAAAAAAAACGAAAATGTCTATGACAGATTTATTCGCAGTCACATAAAAAATATAATAAAAAATCACTTGTTTAAAATCGTTTGCTATAGCACCACATTGCACTTACACTTTTACCAACTCGAAATGAAGCATCGAAAGAAATAGCGTTTAATACAGCAAAACTGATATAATCAATCTTAATTTATTGAACTTAGCTGTCTGTTCTAAACGAAAACCTCTCAGGCATGTTGTTTGAGCATTATATACGAATTTTAATTCTGCGATATAGATATTATCTTTTGTACCCTAAGGGACTACAAAACAAGTGTATGAAATAGTACTAACGAACAAATGTTGAATCAATTACACAATGAAGACAAAGTAATGTGTTTGAAAACTATTGTTTGATTACATCATTATCAAGCCTAGGTGTCCTAGGTGTACAATACGCTAAGGAGCTAGTTATGCATTTTGGCGGCGTTGTTTACGCTTCCTTGACTAGAAAACTGAACATGATATCAAAGATGTTTCCTTACTTCCTCGCCGATAATAGTATTACAAAGTAATACCATGTCACTCTTGAAATTAGTGATTAAATTTCCCCGATACCTCGGGAAAATTTGTAAAATTTCAACAAATTTTCCCTCGGTTTCGGGGAAATTTAATCACTAATTTCCCTCGTTCCATGGTATTACTTATAAGTAAATGTACTATGCGATCTGTCATTCCGGAACAGTTTGCATATTTGTAGAATAAACCCTTTTAGTGATCTCTTTTACGCTGTGTTAGCCTCAAAACCATGTAATAAATTCTTTTATTCACAACAGCCCGTGCAAATGCAAGAGATCTGTGAGTATAGAAGACAATGGAAATACTTTGAAATCTCACGAGTTTTATCTACATTTCTGAATATATTTTAGCACACAATTGAGGCTAACACAGCGTAAAAGAGATCGCGAAACTCCACTATTATCCTTTGTTGCGGTTACACAGTGCAATCTTGTTAAGGCACCCTCGTTGGGACACAAGGTGTTGATGGAGACTGCGCAGTTTAAAAAGGGATTGTACTGTAACTTGTTTCTGCTGCGTGCAGCGTAAAACCCTATAAGCGTTAAGAATCCAGGCTCAACTCTATAGGTTTTTTCAAAGATTTAATCCAGGAATAGCGCTAATCGAGCATTGAACAACCGTGGCCAGGTCTTTTCTTCGAAACGCATTCCAGAAACTTGTCTTGCAATTTTCACATCACTTACGATGCTAGAGCATGCGTAATTTTTCCTTTCAAATATCTGCTATCTTGATTCTGGCTACCACATTACTTCGGCCAAAGACTTTTCTGGGGAACTGTTGAACAGTGTAATAAGGCTATAATTTTTTGCTCAACTTGGGTCGCAAAGGTGTGGCAAGGTAAGCTATTGAAAAAATGACACAGAGTAACATCACTTTGTATTTTCTTGACTTCGAAAAGTTAATTTTTTATGTTGTAGTTAGCTGCCTTGATAAAATTTCTTCGCTGTACTTTCCGAGATCTCAGCTCATTAAACGAAAAAAATAATTCCAGAAAGAAATAAAAAGTGTGCGCTTCTTCTATGGGTTCCCTGTGTTTCGTCTAGGCATTTTAAAAGCCATTAAAGAAATATACCTTCACTGATACTAGTCAGCGCCGTTGCCAGAGAGGAATGTTAACCGAGGCACTTTATGCGACCGGTGGAAGCGGCCGCATCTATGGGGTTCGCGGGCATGCTCCCCGAAACATTTTGAAATTCAGACACTCGGAAACGTGATTTCCAGCATTTTGTGACATTGTTTTCTTACAACATTGATCGAACTTCTTTATCTTGGCTAAGAATTAAAGAAAACTCGATTAAATTTTACCGAGGCAAGTGCCTCGCTTGCCTGATCGTAGCTACGGCGCTGCTAGTAGACCGGTCTAATTCCACATAAATTACCACACAAATAAGCTACCAAACAAACAGAAAACTCGTTTTATTTCCAGCACACTACGTGCATTTACACATGCTTGTTGGACAGTATCCTGCGGCACAATTATTCTTACACCACTCATCAAAACCTGGTTGACCTGCCCAATGACCTGTAGCCACGCAACCACCTGGGTTTGGGGGATTAGTAGGGGGT